TTTGTTGGGATGCACCGCTCCTGAGCTTGGAGGAGGTGATCCTTGAATATTAACCAGCTTTCTTGGGCCCCTCTTCCCTCCAGGGTTTCATCCCATTATACTCTACTGAGGAGATCCCTGAAGAGGCTGAAGTCTGCTTTCCTGAAATCCAGGGTAGTGAGCTTGCTGTGCACCCTCCTTGCTTCCCTAAGAATCTTGAATTCCACCATTTCATGATCACTGCAGCCAAGGGTGTCCTTGAGTGTAACGTTCCCCACCAGCCCTTCTTTGCTGGTGAGAACAAGGTCCAGCAAAGCACCTCTCCTCGGTTCCTCTAACACTTGGAGAAGGAAGTTATCATCCATGCATTCCAGGAACCTCCTGGATTGCCTATGCCCTGCTGTGTTGTCCTTCCAGCAGATATCGGGGTGGTTGAAGTCCCCCATGAGGACCAGGGCTCGTGAACATAGAATCATAGAATCATAGAATCGTTAGGGCTGGAAGGGACCTTCAAAGGTCATTCTAGTCCAACCCCCCTGCAAGGAACAGGGATATCTCCAACTAGATCAGGTTGCTCAGGGCCTCATCCAACCGGGCCTTGAACGTCTCCAGGGATGGAGCATCCACCACCTCTCTGGGCAACCTGTTCCAGTGTTCTACAACTCTCATGGTAAAAAATTTTTTCCTAATATCCAACCTGAATCTACCTCCCTCTATTTTAAAACCATTACCCCTTGTCCTATCACAACTGGCCCTCCTGAACAGCCTCTCCCCATCTTTCTTGTAGGTCCCCTTGAGGTACTGGAAGACCGCTATAAGGTCACCCCGGAGCCTCCTCTTCTCCAGGCTGAACAGCCCCAACTCTTTCAGCCTGTCCTCATAGGAAAGGTGCTCCAGCCCTCTTATCATCTTCGTGGAACATGAGGCAGTTCCTATCTGTCTGTAGAAGGCCTCACCCACCCGGTCCTCCTGGTCAGGTGGTGTGTAGCAGACCCCTACTACTATGTCCCTTGTCCCTGATCTCCCTTTAATCCTAACCCATAAGCTCTCAGTTGGGACCTCATCCGTCCCCAGGTGCAGCTCCATGCACTCCAGCTGGTCTTTGACATAGAGGGCAACCCCTCCTCCTCTTCTCCCCTGCCTATCCTTCCTAAAGAGCCTGTACCCTTCTATTCTGACACTCCAGTCATAGGATTCATCCCACCACGTCTCCGTGATGCCAATAAGATCATATCCCAACAGGCGCACACACTTCTAACTCCTCTTGCTTATTCCCCATGCTGCGCGCATTGGCATAAAGGCATTTAAGTTGGGCCCCAGATGAATCTGACTCCCTGGCTGGAGTGGCTGGAATTCCTTTCTTCTGTTTTTCAGGTACTTATCATGTTTCTGCTCAGCAGATCTTGTCCTGTGTTCGTAGAAGCCATAGCCTTCTCTGTATCTTCAGCCAGCTATTGATCCATTGCATGCATTGTCTCCAGTTGAGTCTTTTCCTCTCAATGAAGGAATGGAGGAGAACACGACTTGGGCTACCACACCTTACACCCTTATCCCAGGGCACACTGTCTTCTCTCTCCTTATCTGGCTCACTTGTATCTCCAACACTCCATCATCTCTTCAAGGCTTGACTCTGTAATCTGTCCTTTTTGGTTTTTTTTCCTGTTCTGAGAGCCTTGAGAATCTTCATGTGCTAGGATCTTGATGAACCTACCGATATAGGTGACATCTGTATATCCTTTCTCCTGCAATTTGTTCTTTCAAATGCTTCTGCACCCACACAAGCCCATTCATTCCCCATTCATATAAATCTTGATGTTTCTGTTGCAAATGTGTCTTTGGGAATGCAGCATTTTTTAATATATTTTTGTACATATTTATTAAATTGCAGATCAGCTGAATGTTCCTGAAAATATCTGAAAACAAAATTTACCTTTTCTCTTTTTTTTTTTTTTTTTTACTTCACAGGAAAATGAAACTCGAGGCAATTTTTCTGAATTTAATGTTCCGAACAGTCTTCCTGAAAGTGATACCAGAGCCCAGACAAAGCCATCAGAACTGGAAAGCACCAGCATCAGTGTCAAACTGCCTATGACAGCTTCAGGTAGAATATAACAGGGCATGCTGAAAAGCCCAGAGTGAGAGGCTGCCTGCACATATAGGGAATGTATGCAGTCAGGATACTCAGTGACTGGAGGTCCTGTGCTAAATGGTCACCAAAATATTTAAGAAACAATTTGAAGGAAAGGAATATGGATGTACTCAGTGATTTCTAAATATCCTACTTGGGGATGTACACAATAGGAGAAGAAATAGACTAACACAAATACATAAAGGAGAGAAGTGTGCATTATACAAAAGAATGTGTATTTGTCTAAAACTTGTGACAGGTCATGTAGATGACAGCAATATTCTATTACAGTGATAAAACACTTTTCCCACTTGCTTGTAGCTGTGTCACATTTTATCTGTGTGGGCTAAATTGCATTTTGGGAGTTCTCAGATCTAGAAAGTTTCTGGCAGAGTTACTCTATTTTTAGAAGGAGTGTAGGAAAAAAAAAAAAAGGTAGTGGCCTTTTGCTTTGAAATGTTTTAGCATCTCTGTATTAGTGGATGAAGATCTGCTACTGTTTGACAAAACACCCACATGCACGCCTAGAGAACGCGTTGATTTGTGATGCTACCGTTTGATTATTTATCAAGATTTAAATGATGTAAGTGGAGGTGTTAGGGTAGCCGAAATGTTTCTATGCAGGAAGAATCAGAACTAGGAGAACAGCAGATTTGGGCCTCATTGAATTCCTAACCTCATGCATCTGAACTTGACATTTACAAGTACTTGAAAGCTTTGGTTAACTAAAGCTTACTGCCATTTTATAAATACGACAAATTAATAAAAACATACAATTATTTTATGTAAGCTATGAAGCTTGCTGAAGCAGATAGACAACAGATTGGATTTTCAAAAACATCTAGGTACATAACTTTGCTCGGAATCAAATAATTTTTATCTAAGCTCTCTTAAAAGTCTCACTGACAGATGACAAATGCTTTGTTGAACATAATACTGTAAGTCAGAAAAAGAAACATAAATTTGTGCAAAATGTCAACATTGTAGAATCCTAGAAATGTTGATTGGAAGGGACTCAGCCTCCTGCTCAAAGTGGCCTGCTATAACGTGAATTGTTCCCTTGTAAAAGCAATTTGCTATCAAGTTTCTGACATTTTATTGATTTTTGGTTTTGTTTTTTTTTTATGATTTAGAAGCCTTGAAAAATTTTAGAAACCGGTTAACTATCTATGAGCAAAAAGAAATTTTCAATTATACAGAGCTATGGTTTCTTGGGCTGGAAGCTAAAAAGATTGAAGGTTTGCCTGAGACCCAGAATAATAATTGTTACGATGATGAGCATGGTTCCTACTTAAAGGTAAGTGGAAAAATTATGTTATTAATTTTCAGCTCTCTAAGTTTGTAGTGATTGTCTGCCAATTCTTAAATGATTTATGTGAGATAAAAGTTGTTTCTAGAAGATAAACATTTACACAATGAAAACATCAGTACCAATCACTTTAAAGCTCGGAAGAGAATCCTAAAGAGAGACAGACCCATTTTACATCTCATTCAGGATTGATGCAGGGTAGGTGGATTAATGAAGCATGCACTTGTTTTCTCTGTTGCTTTTCTTTAAGGTAGACTTCACTTGCTACTGGTCCGGCTTCTTTCATAGGCAGTAAACTCACACACACATGAACTGCTTTAAACCCTGATCTTTTTTTGTACTGAATCTGAACTATTTGTTTTCATCTTCTTTCAAAGGTTTTACATGACCACATTGCGTACCGATATGAAGTGTTGGAGGTGATTGGGAAAGGGTCGTTTGGGCAGGTGGCTAAATGCTTGGATCATAAAACCAATGAATTAGTGGCATTGAAAATTATAAGGAATAAGAAAAGGTGAGACCTCTGTTGACTTTAAATCAGTAAATCAGCTCTTCGTTATATAAGCAGTGACAGCCTGGGATGACGTGAACAAAGCAAAATCAAACGCCCTGTACATGAGGCTTTCTTTAAACACAGTGAGAATAGAGTGAAGAAAGGTGATGTCCAGAATTGGCCTGGACCCAGTGGAGACACAGTCGGTGAAAGCAGGCACAGTTTTTCCAGACATACAAGCAGGTCTCTGTATCTATGACATGGTTAATACGCAGCCCAGGTAACCAGCCGTGCATGACTGAGAGCTGAGAGCCTACATTCCTCATCAAGACTCCAAAACAACAGGAATATACTGGGAGGCTCCAGTTGCTCATTTTAACATGAAATATTCTACACTCTTGTCCTAAGCAACCTCTTCTTGTTATGTGACTGGTTACAAATTTTTGGTTGAGTTTAGCTTGAACCAGAGTCAATGACGCAGATAAGAATAATGCTGTTGACTCCAGCAACAGTTTTAGCTGTTCAGTTTTCCCCCTCAGTGAACAGTAAATGTAAAGATGCTCTTCAAAACTGACTGTCTTACTGTGGTAGGTGTGAAAAACGCCCGTTTGAGTAAACATTCCTGTGGACTTTGAAAGCACTAGGATTTTACTCTGGGTGCTCATTTGAGACTGTTTTTGATGGAAATATTTTTTTCAGACAAGTCAAAATAACTACTCTTAAATGCTATATAAGGCCAGTATATTTAGACCAGGAAACAACTATAATAAATCCAGGTTATAGTAGTTAACAAGGGTGAATGGTGAATTTTTAATCATTGTCCCACATGCTGAGCTTAGAGTAAGATTGTGGTGTTTGTAGAATTTATATTGCAATAAACTTAGATTGAGTTAATGGTAACATATCATGTGATATTTCAGATTTCACAGCCAGGCTTTGGTAGAAGTGAAGATCCTTGATGCTCTTCTGAAGAAGGACAAGGATGATACTCACAATATCATCCACATGAAGGAATACTTCTACTTTCGCAATCACTTCTGTATTTCCTTTGAACTGCTAGGGTAAAGTATATTTCCCTTTAGCTGAATCTTAAGGAGCATTGTAGATCTTGTGCCTTACAAGCTTTAATTTTCATGCCTTCTTTGAAAGAATGTGCTTCTCTTAATGTTACAAGAAATGAATAGTGTCTAAATACAGACTTCACAACTGAGCCTTTGATCCCCAAAGGTGAACTGAAAAAGGACTTATTCAGACTTCACACAATGACATGATCCATCACTTATTTTCTATGCTGTGTATTGAAGTCTTCTTCACTGAAAGACCCGTGGGGAAAAGAGTAAAACAATAAATTCAGGACTGGTAAATTTTGGGGTATATAAATAGGAATAATATTAAACAATTAAAAATATAACTTCCTGCTTTCTATGAATATGTCCTGCAGGACACATCTTACGAGAAATTTTGGATAAATTTTGGGCAAGTCAGACCACTTTATTTACCAGCCTTCTTGTAATCAGGGCATCAAAGTGGAAGAATGGAGGTTATCCACATTTACCCATTCCTTAAAGTAAAGCCCCCATTACTGCAGGTGTTACAGCCCTTGCTGAAGATTTATCATTGTGTGGAAGGCTTGATCTTAAACAGAGCTGAATTCATTGTTTTGCTGCATGTGAGCCTGTCATTCAAACACACAGGGATAAGTCAACTCCTTCTCTCCAGCAAAGACACAGACCATTTTTTTCAGAAAGCTGCTATGGAAACTTGCAGAAAAATGTTCATGGAATAGCCACTATAGCTGGAGACTGACCTTGCTGTGCCATTGCAGGGGCAGGGCTGATGGTCCTGGGGGGCTGAGATGGGGTCCCTGGGCCTTGGGCAGGGGCGTCAGGGCTGGTGGTGCCCTCAGGGTCTCAGGGCAGGGTTCACATGTTGCCACCCATGCTTGACAGAAGTTAGCAACATCGTTTAATGCACTACTGGAAGGAACTCAGACACAATGGTGACCGGAGGAATGTAAAAACCTAACACAACCTGAATTTATGGGAGTATTTATCTAGAATGATTTACTGCTGGTTAAAGACTTTTGAGACAAAAAAAGATTTATATGAGATGCCAAAGCAGAGACAAATGAGAACAAGAAAAGGAAACGGAAGAAAATTCATTTCGCTCAGTTCCTTGAGTGGTAGTTGTTCGCAGTGAAAAACAGCACAGCTGCATAACGTAGCACTGAGTTTAACAAGCAAGCAAGTCCACTGACATTATGTCTTCTTTAGATCTGGAGGCTCAGGGAGATGTTTGTGCATATTACATGCAGAACACCGTTCTCAAGGAGTCATTTTCTTCTGCATGAGTCTCCCCTCATGTAAGAAGACAGGCTAAATACTCTCTTAATGCACTGTAAACTAATCATGCCTCTAAAAATAAGTTTCCTAATCTCTCTTCTGCTTTCTGTCTTCTTCTTTTTCTACCCCCACAACCCCCAGAATAAATTTGTATGAGTTGATCAAAAGGAATAATTTCCAAGGTTTCAGTTTGTCTTTAATTCGACACTTCACTCAGTGTGTGCTGAGATGTTTACAAGTGCTTTACCAGGAAAGAATCATTCACTGTGATCTGAAGCCTGTAAGTAACAGTCATTTCATAATCTATTATTCTGTACATAATACATTAGCTTCATCCTATTTTCTGTTGATCGAGAGGAACTTTCAGACAAATCCTTAAAACCCAGCAGGGTATTTGTACAGAAGCTATACTTTATTTCAGACTGGATTAGTACTAGAGTCAAGCGATTCTTCAGATGATTCAGTTCATTCAATGCAGTATTATACAAGATTATCTGATTGGCAAAATGTGTGCAAATACTAATAAAATTCAGCTAATGACTTTCTGCTTAGAGAAAGGAAAAAGTACTTGTGAAATTGATAAGTATTTCAATATGATGGACATTATAACACAAGGAGATATTCACAAGGCAGCCTGTTTCAGATTATCCTGTTAAGTCTGTTTAATTTTGTATGCATAACTATAAAATTAAATAGCCTGTAAATGACAAAGCAATTCTATAGTACAGTATTTAGGGTACTC